TTTGTAGAGCTATAAGACAAAGTCATAAACCAAGTTATTTTTCAATGTTAGCCAGATAAGCAGGCGTTGGTTGCTACCTGGTGACATCTGCAGCTTTGGGGTCGGTGGAAGTCCATGGTATGTTAGCAATAGGGACTACCTGACACTTGGTGTGATGTTAATTAGACTCAGTGATGGGCAAGTGTTTTGGTCAGGGTTCTCTAAAGCAGTGGTTCTCAAGCTTCCTAATGCTGTGACCAACCCTTTAACATAGTTTCTCATGATGTGGTGACCCCCCCCCCAACCACAAAATTATTCTCATTGCTACTTCATAACTGATGTGCAGATATTTGACTCCGGTGAAAGGGGTCCTGACCCACAGGTTGAGAACCACTGCTCTAGAGAAACAGAACTTATATAATGAATGTATAAATATAAATATCTATAGATACACACACACATACACACACACATATATAGAGAGAGTTTATTAGAATGGCTTACAGGTACAGCTAATTCAACAATGGTTGTCTACCAACAAATGATACAAAAATCCAGTAGTTGTTCAGTCCACAAGGTTGGATGTCTCAGCCGGTCTTCAGTAGATGCTGTAATCCCAAAAGAGTAGATTCTAATGCCAGTGAAAGAAAGAACTTGCTAGCAAGGTGGGAGCAAGTAGGCAAAGAGAGAGAAACTTCCTTCTTCCACATCCTTACATAGGCTGTCATCCAAAAGTGTGTCCCAAATTAAAGATGTATCTTCCCACCTCCAAATGATTTATTAAGAAAAAATTCCCTTATAGGTGTGCCCAGTCATTTAGTTTTTAGTTAATCGGGTTTTAGTTCCATTCAGATGTAGTCAAGCTGGCAATCAAGAATAGCTATCCCAGCAAGGAATGGATATTAAGATATATAAAAATAATACAAGATGATTTGTCTATGGATCTGGAACATGATAACTTTCCACAATCACAAAGTTTGACTAAGTCAGTCAGCCTTGTAGACTCGGTAACACATGCATGGCCCTTTAGTTGGGGAACTTTAGCTCACAGGCAAATATAGAAGTCTCTTCTTTCTGTTTTCAGTCCAAAAAAAAAATACTAGGGAGACATTTTTGAGTCAGCTTATGTCTGGTGATCAACCACAAACTAATTGAGGTAATGAAGACATAAGAGAAATTGCAATTTCTAAGGCTAGGATACGAAAGAATAGCTCTCGAATACAAAACAGCAGGCTGTGTCAGAAGATAGAAGAGTTTGGGAAAAAAAGCAGAAGTTGCTCCACAGCCGTTCCGACCATGAGAAAAGGATTCAAAGTGAGCCAATTGATAGTGGATTGAGAGCCCCATTGTCTAGAAGGCTGAACTCCTCCCTGGTCTCAGCGTTTTCAGGGCTGTGGTCAAGGACAAACTGGAGGGGTCCAGGATGGAGAGAGCCAGGATGTACAACATGTTTGTTCAGAGAAATGGAATGCAACAACAACAACAAAAAACCCCACTTTCTTCCTGCCCCTGCTTCTCTCCCGGCCTGCCTATCACTCAGCCTTGCTCTTTGGAACAAGTCTTTAACAAGCTGAAAAAGGCTGAAGAAAACCTGTGGTGGTTCCTCTCATTCTCTAGTCCATTCCTCCATACCTAAATGTTTCAATTCAGTAATGACAATGTCCAGTTGAGCACAGTAAGCAAACCTGAGTCTTAAACTTGCCCACTGGGCTTGTCCAGAAAGGAAGCATCACAGCAAGGTGGGAAGCACTCTACTGTTTCCCTACTCAGGAGACCCCTGCAAACCACAAGTTTTGAAAATTGTAATTTATTTTCCAGTACTAAGGATTGATCTCCAGGCTTTGCACATACAACGCAAACGTGCTACAGAGCTATCACAGGCTCTCCCTGTTGTTGCTACTGTTGTTGTTTGACTTTTTTGTTGTTGTTGTTGTTGTGTTGTTTGACTTTTTGAGACAGTGTCTCAGAAAGTAGCCCAGGCAGGCCTCCACCTTGCAAACCCCCTTTCTCAACGCCCTCAACAGCTGGGACTACAGGCCTGTGCTACCAAGGCCCTGATCAGCCATATAGTCTGTGCCCTCCACCCATCAAGATGGCTGCAGGTTTTCTGATCTCAGTAGTGAGCATGGTGGAAGAAAATGGAGAGAAGTTGGGAGGATGCTTAGAAGCCCTTGGTGTTGTCTTGCTCTGGCTTTGGAGTATGCAAGGTGTGCATGCATGTGTGTGTGTAAACCAGAGTTAAACCTCAGGGATCATTCTCTGGGCAGCAACCACCTTGTTTTGGAGCACAGGGGCTCTCACCGGCCCAGAGCACACCAAGGAGTCTGGGCTTTGGGTGGCCAGTGAGCCCCAATGATTCATTCTCTTGCCTCTGGATTACAAGTTTTTTTTTTCATTTGTAACCTAGATTCTGGGGGTCAAACTCAAGTCCTGTGCTTGCAAGGCATGTACTTTATGACTAAACTTTGAAGTTTTGCTGTGTTTTTAAATTTTTATTCATTTTATTGTTGTTATTATTGTTATTACTATTACAGGTGGTCATTGCTATACCAGGTTTGCCTATGGTGTTTTGTTATTTTATATAGAAGTTCATATTTGTAGTCTAGGTAGGACCTCAAACTCATGAGCATCCCTCTTCACCTACCTCCCAAGTTCTGGGTCTAGAGGCATAAGTCACCGTGCCTGGCTTGGCTTTAGGGTTTTCACTGCCTTCTAAGTTTTCCAAGCTTTTCCCCATTTAATTTTTATTGTCTCTAGTAAAGTATGGTAATGCCAAACAGTGAAGAGAGAACTAGAAAAAAAAATTAGTTTTACTCTACTTGTTTTCATACCTAGAGAGAGCACAGGTCATGAAGACCACTCAAAGAAACCGCTGGAATTGCCACAAAACAGGAGAAAGGAAGCCATAGCAAATATATTCCTGAAGGAAGACAAGGCAAGGCAGGCTTATGATTTCCTAAGTTGAATAATTTCAGGGGGTACTGGAATACAGGAGCATCTCTGCTTGTCTCATATAGAGGAGTACAGTGGCCTGGAGTGTGAGGGCTCTGTAAGGGAAGTGGTTTGGGGGCTGTGAGGTTCACAGCTTCCCAAAAGGGAAATGACCAGCCTCCAAACCAGCCTCAATACTACATTAAACCCTTTACATTGTGTTTCATAAGTTCTTTAAGACTCTTCCCCACAAAAGACAGCTCTCTTACAGCGCCTTCATTGTCAGAAAGTGTTATCTGTCTGTGTGTACATGAGAGAAAGAGAGAGAGAGAGAGAGAGAGAGAGAGAGAGAGAGAGAGAGAGAGACTCATGTAATATCCAGACTGGTCTTAAACTCTGTAAGTAGCCAAGAATGACTTTGAATTTGTTTGCCTGTCTCTGCCTCCTGAGTTCTAAGGTTACAGTGTGAACTACCACACCCAGGTTTTGGAGGGAGGGAGCTGAGACTGGTCTTAGAATATTAGCCCAAGGCTCCTGTTTCTACCTCCCAAGTACTAGAATTATAGGTACATGCCACCATGCACATTCTACCACATTTGAAAGCACTGGATTTCTAGTGTCTTTCAGCTCAAGTCCAAAGTCACCTTGCCTCTGCAAGAAGCCATCTTGGACAGAGTTCCTTTAGAGAAGGCTACAAGCTAGATCTCTGCAGAATTTCTCATATTGGGCACTGAATTTCACACAGCGAATTCCAGCAAAGAGCAGGTCACTGGGCTCCAGGCTATTGGAGGGAGTGAGCAGCGCAGCCAAAGGATAAAGGACAAAGGCTTTCCAGTGATACTGAATGAAAGGACGCCATAAAATTCAGTAGTCAAGTGCAGTAATTTCTAAATGCATGAAAGTGTTTATACTGAATACAGTTTCCACTCTGCCTAAGATGCCCCAAGATTCTATAAATGCTGCTGGGCAATGATGTAGACAACATTCGGCTCTCATAGCCCATTTGCTGAGACTTGAAGATCAATCAAGCCAAGACCGATGTATATGTATGTACACAGAAAAATCCAAGGTGCAGGTCTGCGAGACAGTTCCCCTGGTTAAGGTGCCTGCTGCCATGCCTGATAGCCCAAATCTGATTCCTGGGACCGACATAGAACTGACTATTTCATGTTGTCCTTTGACGCCTACATATGTGTGGTGGTGCATGCATACATGCACGCGCATGCTCACATGCTTGCAAGCACACACGTAAATGAGAGAGACATCAAGGTATCTGCAGTAAAAAGAACTAAAGGGACAAGTGGTGAATGGTGATAGGGTTGCAGACAGGGTACAGACTGTGTCTGTGTAAGGACACTAGAACTGTCAGCAGGCAGACACTTGCTGAGATGCTGTAATGATGACTTAAGGGGTGCCAGTTGAAGATATCAGGTTTCTCCTGAGGCTAGGGCATGATCTAAGTGAAGAATGACAGAATCTCATCTAGACAGGTGTAGACAAGATTTCAAAGTACAGAACCGGACCTCAGTTTCCCTACCTAGTACTGAGGGTGGGGCAGCCCTCCCCGGGGGTTCCGAGGCCCAGCCCACTGGGACACTAGGAGGCAAGGTTCCACGCCACCACGGGTGCAGGAGGACCCGCCCTGGCTGCAGCCTTAGGGCTGGGACGAACCGAGCAGGGGCGG